TCCTAACAAGGTTTTAACATCATAAAACCTTAATCAATACACATAACCTCTAAAAGGTTATTTTCCGGTGAACTTGTCGGTTTGGCTTCTAAATCCATTTTTTGACATAGAACCACCTTCCAACCCCTTGTTCCACATTTATCAACATGTAGAACAATCCTAGGGTTCTTCATAATTTCTAAATTAATAATATATTCAAGAAAAGGAGAGAAGAAAGGTAGAAGGAGTCATTACCTAGTTTTTCCCCGAGTTTCGTACACTTTTAGAACTTAAACTCCTCCCTGGAGCTTCCTTCTTGTTGGAGCTTCCTTCAACAATGGTGAGAGGTGGCTGGAGCTCTTCTTGCTATTGGTTGGGGTGGTGTGGTCGAAAATAATGGAGAGAGGGGGTTGGGGTTGGCTTTTTGTCTCAATAGGCAATTATGTGTGGGTTGAGAGACCCACCTTTGTCCTTTAGATGCCTCTCAAGTCAACCCAACCTCTACCCATCTTCCTCCTCTCACTCAGCCGCCCCACACCTCATTTTGTGTGTCTAAATTCGTGGGTTGGCCCCCACCCATGTGGGAGGTCAACCCTTTTTGTCCAGAAGTGTACAATCGGTCCCGAAAGTTGTATTTTTCGGACTGTTTTAAATATATTTTATTTTATCGGGTCAAATAAAATATATGATGTGTTTCCAATCATTATGACCCTTATAATGAATATACATCCCCCAACTTTAATTTATAAGTTCCCGAAATTCATTTCGGGTTTTTATCTGTTAAATTACCAATACCGGTATTTTGGCCTTTTTGATCAACCGGTCAACTCTATATCATTTCTTTGGACCAAATAAATTATCCACCACTATATAAATATTATATTGACCAAGATGAATAAAATATACGGTCTCGGGAATATCGGGCGGCCCCCGCTCCCGGTGTGGGCCCGCATGCAATTTACTATTCACGCGAATAAGAATAATAAAAATTCACAACTTCGCATACTCATTAATCATTCCACAAGGTTCAATACATTATTCACTTAAAAATAAATACATTTGGGGACGGTGCTACAATGCCTCCATCATTCTTCGATACAATGGAACATTTGCCAGTACATCTCCCGTATGAGGCCATTAATGCCGGTCCTGTCTTTTATCGTTGGATATACCGCTTCCAGAGGCCAGTTACACCTTTTATAGTTATTCCAACTAGTATATTTTATGGATGTCTGAATAATAATGAAATTGACTATTTTGTTTATATATATATATATATATATATATATATATATATATATATATCAGGTTTTTGAGAGGCTTGAAAAAGAAAGTCACTAATAAAGCACATGTGGAGGCGTCGATTTGCCAAGCTTATCTCACTCCAGAAATCTTCACATTCTCGTCTTTTTATTTTGAGCGGGGTGTGATTACTAAAAGAAAACGACCAGCCCGAAATGACGACATTGGAGAGGACTCATATGATGATGTAGTTTCTATTTTCAATTACTCGGGTAGAGGAAAAGGAGCTGCGACTTACCGCTACATTATCGGTGAAGAATTTCTGAGGGCTTATACATACATCTTAATGAACTGTCAAGAAATTGAGCCATTTTAAAAGTAAGTGTCTTTGTTAATTATATTCCCACAAGTTTTATTGATATGTTTTTACCAATTCTCTATCGTTTTTCTATTGTAGTGAATTTAGAGCATCGCGGTCTCCATTCCCTGATCATATAATTGATGAGATGGTGAATTCCGAATTTGTATCATGGTACCAGAATAAGGTACATTTTATTAAATACTTGTATATTTTATCAAATGCCATTATCAATTACTATGATGTTATATATATATATATATATATATATAGAGAGAGAGAGAGAGAGAGAGAGAGAGAGAGAGAAAATTTGGTTCAAATAAAAAGTACTTCCTAGGTGAAAAATAAGAACTAATCTTGGCCATTGATGTGATAAAATGGGTGGAAGAGATCAATTTTTAAGTGAGAAACGCGGTGGCGTTTTTGTAATTATGGGGATTTTTTTTTGAAAATATTGTGACAAATGTGCATCAGAATAGTAAAAAGGTGCACACGTAGAGCACAAAAGTGCAATACCGTACAAAATAGAAAGTGCACAAGATGAAAATTTTTGACAATCTTTTTTGACTCGCATGAGTGCACTTTTAATAAGTAACTATCCACTTTATAGTATAAACGTTTGCACATTTTTTGAAATCATCTCTTGTGTTTAAAGTTCATCTAATCCATCTATTTTCAAGTGATGGAAGGTCAAGATTTGTTCTCACTTTTCATGGGAAGACTACTTTTTACTTGAACTCATCCCTCTCTCTCTCTCTCTCTCTCTCTCTCTATATATATATATATATATATATACATACATATATACAGGTAAGAGATCAAATACAAACCATGCTTAAAATACTAACATGCAAACTCAATAATATGCAACACTTTGAACTTCAATATGCAGTACAAATAATGTAAAGATGCACACTGTGAATTTCAATATGCATTACAAATAATATGCAACACTTTGAACTTTAATATGCAGTACAAATAATATGCAACACTTTGAACTTCAATATGCAGTACAAATAATATAAAGATGCACAGTTTGTGATAGTTTGTAGGTTAGCATGGGAAGACTAGTTTGTATGTGATCTCACCCCTATACATACATACATACATACATACATACATACATACATACATACATACATACATACATACATACATACATACATACATACATACATACATACATACATACATACATACATACATACATACATACATACATACATACATACATACATACATACATACATACATATATTCTTTACAGATACGTAGTTGTGCCTATGTCGACCCCATTCTACAATCTTTAGCGTGGGGACCTACTACCCATGCCAAAGTTTGGCACTCATATGTTATAAATGGTTACACCTACCATACACGCGCTTATGGTGAGGACAGACCCACAATGAATAGCGGAATAAGTGTCCCGACAGTTGGGTATGATAATTCCGAAACAAACTTTTTTGCTCTTTTGGAAAAGATTCTAGAACTGAGTATGCCGCGAGTAAAACAAGAACTATCAATTGTTCTTTTTCGATGCACATGGGTTGATCCGATACGAGGTGTGAAAAAACATTCAAAATATAACATCATTGATGTTGATCATTCTAGAGTGTATCGGAAAAATGAACCTTTTATCCTCGCCCAACAAGCTGCACAAGTATATTACGCCGAATATCCTTCGACGCGACAAACACCGAATCCATGGGTTTGTGCATGCACTATCCGCCCTAGGAAAGTTGTCACATAAGCTCAGCACAAAGACGTTGATTTAGATGCTTTTCAACAAGAGTATTTTCAGCCACCGCCTGTTGTTGAAGCTATCACAGATAACATTGTGTTGAGTGATCCAAGCGGGGCAGAAATCGAAGTTGTTCTACCTAAAAATACTTCGTCCCGAATTCCTCAAACAGAACTAGAAATAGTTCAACAACAAGAGGAAGAAGAAGACGAAGAAGAAGAATGGATATCTGGTGAAGATATAGAGGAAGAAATTATTTATGAAGAAGATCATGACTCTGAAAGCGATTAATTGATATTTATTGTATTACTCATTCTACGAACTTATTGTGGTACTTGTATTTATTAATTTATGTTCTCAATAATTCTCTATTTTTTCTTGTTACTTATGGAATATCTAATACAACTCATTAATAGTTGTTTTCCACTGTAATCAACTATTATACATTTTTCCCCCAAAATTCAAATATATTCCTCAAATATTTTTTAGTCTATTTTAATCTAAAGCATAAAATTCATTTTTTTTAATATTAAAATTCGAAAATTCAAAACTTTGTTTATTAAATTCAAATATTTGAAAATGTGTTTCAATAATCATATATTCCTCAAATACTTTTGGAATTAATTTTTTTTTCAATCTAAATTATAAGGAAATTAAATTAATACGGTATTATTAAATTATCAAATTCATCACACATGAGTTTACTTATTACATTTCACTACAGATAAGGAAATGTAATTCTAAATTATTTCAAGCTCAACAAAGAAAATAACATTAAACAGATGACTGTTTTTCAGCGTCCTTGCCATTATCAAATTGCTTCTCTAGAACTTGAATAAATTTTTTGCGGGATCAATCTCTTTCAATTATTTAAAATCAATTAAAATCATTTAAAATCAATTTCTTTCATAGCCCATTAAAATTCAAACAATTTAGCCAATTTATAAATCATTTTTCCATGACACAAAGATAGACCCGTGATTTTTTTTGGATATCACAACTTTTGTCAAGGCTTAGTCTCAGATATTTCCCTAACTAAATACAACCGTGCAGTGTTGTTAGGGATTAGTCAAGGATAAATCCCTGACTAATTTAATTATTTCAAACGGTGCGCACCAACCACTTCTGATGCCTCTTTATCCGAGATTGCAGACCTTCGATTTCCAATGCATTTGTTGGGGGTATATGAGTATATCCCTCACTAAGGGAGTGTTTGCAACAGCTTCTGCTTTAAAAAAAGCACTTTTGGAGTGATTTGGAAAAAGTAATTATTTGTAAAAGTTGATAGTGTTTGAGAAAAAAGTGATTTTGAAAAGTAAAAGTTGGTAGTGTTTGGTAAAATAAGTGCTTTTGGTGTATAAAAAGTGGAAAAGCACTTTTGACACGAAAGCCGAGAAAAATAAAAAATTGGTAGTGTTTGGTAAATAAGTGCTTTTTTAAGCCAAAAGCTGAGAAGTGCTTTTTTTTAAAATGGTTGCAAACCAGCCTTAAATCCCCGACTACAATTATGTGCTTCGAATTATTTTAATTCGCGCCACCCCCAGAACTTACGAAATTCGAATTTTAAATTTGTTAGGGATTTCTCCCTGACTAATTTTAAACGTGGAAGATTTTTAGGGGTTTATCCCTAACTAATGCTTTAATATATAAATGATACTTTGTCATATTTCAACACTTTCTCTTCTCTCTACAACCCTAAAAGCAACAACGCCTCAGCCCTCAGCCCGATCGACGCCGCTGGAACAACCGTCGACAAGACTTCTTCCACGCCGTTGTGTCCACTGCCGACAAAGGCCAACGCCTCTGAGTCCGATGGTGCAGCCATAAATTTCCACTGACTTTGACGCCTCTTGCTTGGTATCCATCCACCGGCCCTCAGCCCGACGCCTCGGAGTCCGAGAATCATTTCCGCCTCTCAGCACCGGGCCTCTACTATTCAGGTCACACCTTCCTATTTTTGCTTCATTTATTTTAAGTAATTAATTTTTTTTACATTCCTATGCCTCTACTGTTCGACTTTTCAATTTTTTTAATAATTTCAAATACTTTTTAAAACAATTAAATACCTTTTTTGGACTTTTGTGTTATTATGTCAACTGTATGAACACATTTTTGGTGTATTTCGGACACTTTGTTAAAATAAAATTTTTTAAACATTTGTTTTATAACCTCGAATACTTTTTAAAACAACTAAATACCTTTTCAGACTTTGGTGTTATTATGTCAACTGTATGAACACTTTTTTGGAGTATGAACCATCTTATAAAACTTTTTGAACCATCTTATGAACATAAAAAAATCCCCCCCAATGTGAAACACCTTCTCAAGTAGTCTATTAAAATAATTACGAAAATAATAATTACGAAAACAATTACAAATATTTAAACAACTATTTACGAAAGTAATAATTAAAATATACATAATGAGAGGCTATTTCGCACCTGTAATTCCAAATATAATCCCATCTTTAAAATTGAAACAATACCTAAAAAAATCCCCCCTTTCACATTAAACTCCAATTCTCATTTTAATGTGTTACTAAAAAAATAGTATTTTTAAACATCTTACACCTATTTTAATATGTTACCATAAACACCACCTATAAAAAACACTTTAATTATTTCAAAACAATACGTTAAACACCTAATTTAAACAATACGTATTCTAATAATTAGTCTAGTCAATATTATTGTTTAATATTTTACCAAAACGTGTTTCCATTTAATATGTTACTAAAACACAACATTTAAAAAAAACAGTTAAACAACTAGTTACGAAAATGATAATTAAAACAGACATAATAAGAGGCTAATTCGTACCTATAATTCCCAAAAAAATCCCATCATTAAAATAATACTACCTTTATAAATTTTATACTAGTTATTTTACTTACCTTTATAAATTTTAGATGCCAAATTCCTTGCGTAATTCAAATGCATCAATTCGAGGCCGTGACCGTGGTCGAGGCGGAGGCCAAACGTCTCGCGATCACCTGATGGGAGACAATGATGGTTCGAATAACAATTCAGGTCAACCCGACACACGCATTTCTGGTCAACTCTCTCATGTGCGTGGGGGTGGGGGTGGTGGAACGTCCTCACAGCCTCAGAATGAGCTGGCCGGGAACCAAAGATGGATAACGGCGGAAGAAGTTCTCAGGTAAATTAAAGCTTTCGATTCAATAAAATAAAAATAATACATGTAAATTAATTAATTTAAAATTTTATATTATGAAGCGATGGAACAATTTTACCAACCATTGAAAAGATTGTCTCTGAACATTATCCTACCGAGGCTTGTGCCACGTATGGTCTAATATCAAAAAAGCTGCGGACTCAATACTTTGACCAGTTCACGGTAATGTACTAAATTAATATTTTCTATAAATAATGAGTTTGACAAATAAGTTGTTAAATGTGTTAATTAACAATATTTAATTTGATGAAGCATGAATATATGTGGAATCCGATTGAGACGAATGAGATTATGAAGAACTTTCATACTAGTGCATCGGGTTGGCTCACTTTTACATTTTCTCATGCCTGATCCGACAATACCAAGCCGGAATGGATTACGGATAAATGTTGTGTGGCAGACTCTTTTGGATTACTGGGAGAATAATGAAACATTTAAAAGATACAGTGAAGCAGGGAAGAAGAACAGAAACTGCCCAAATGCAAAGAATACCCAATGGCATGGTGGACGTTCATCAACGTTTGACCATAATAAAAAATTGGTAAGTTGTCCTACTTATTTTGTGAATTCAATAATGTATGGCTACAATATTAAATGTTTTAATTTTCTTTAGGAAGAAAAGATGAAGAAGAAAGTTAGGAGATTGGTACTTTTGAACAAGTGTTGGGCTCCGAAATCTGGGCCACTTCCACCCCGTATTGTCGAGACAACGGTAAGAAATGAATGAAAATGAATATATGTTTGTATTCTTCACTTATTTACTATAATTAAATTATTGTGTAGGATAATTATAAAGAATTGATGACTGAGAAGTTGACTGAAATTGCCGCCGCCGGGGGGGGGGGGGTGAAGTTGTTGAGGAGGAGATTGATGACGATGCAATCATCGTATATAGTATTGGCGATCCGGTGAAGAGGCGGTTGCGGGGAATGGGCTCACTCTCTCGCTCCATTCTAAGAAAATCCCGTGGTTGTAGTTCTTCTCAATCCGGACCTTCTCGGAAAGAAATTGATGAGTTACGTGAGGGGTTAAAAAGGCAACAGGATAAAGAAGAAGCCCGAGAAGTTGAAATGTGGGAAATGCGGGCTTTGGTTGTTAAATTATCGCAACAATCTCAAATGGTCGGGGTGGGCGGATATAACTAAGGGTTGCTATTCCAAGCCCGACAAATACCCTTTGGCAGTTGCTATTCCAAGCCCGACAGTCAGCTTTTTTTCACTACACCGTCGGGTGGGATGTCGGGAGGGGGGATGCCGGGTGGGATGCAAGGGGGGCAGCCGGTGGGGCAACCTGGTCACCATGGTCAGCCCGGAGGTCAGCCCGACGGTCAGCCCGGAGGTCAACCCAGAGGTCAACCCGGAAGTGATTTTGATATCAGGGGATATTTTGCGGATCACGATGACGATGCTCAATTATAATTGAGTTTTTTTAAAAGAGCAAAAGAGGCGAAGAAAGAGTATAAAAGAGTGCATGCTCTTCTCTTACTTTCTCCTCTTGATAATACTATCAAGCATGATCTTGCTATGGCCAAAAAAGTGCTCTCTATTTTAAAAAAGCCGAGGAAGACTTTTTTAGACAAAAGGCTAAAGCCAATCATCTTTTCCTCAGTGACCGTGGGACTAAATACTTCCACTCAATTGTTCGAAAAAATGTGGCTAAGAATTCTATCACTACTATTAAGCTTCCTAATGGGACCTCTACTACTTCTATGGATCATGTGGCTGCTGAATTTGTTAGGTTTTATACTGGCCTCTTTGGAGCATCAGTTCCAAGTGTTAGTATTGATCCTAACATTGTTCGTTCGGGCATTTGTTTGGACACTGCTAGAGCTACTCAACTTATTGGCCCTATTTCTGACAATGAGATTAAGGATGCTCTCTTTGATATTGGGGATAACAAGGCCCCTGGCCCTGATGGCTATACCTCGGCCTTTTTCAAACATAACTGGAACATTGTTGGCCATGATGTTATTCTTGCCGTGAGAGGTTTTTTCAACTCAGGGAAACTCTTGAAGCAACTTAACCACACGGTTATTGCTCTTATCCCTAAAACCTCTCATGATCCTACGGCGGCTGACTTTAGACCGATTGCCTGCACCAATGTCATCTATAAGACCATTACCAAGATCATTGCTACTAGAATGATTCCTTGTTTACCGGATCTTATTGATCCTTCTCAAGGGGCTTTTATTGATGGAAGACTTATGATTGAAAATATCTTTCTTGCTCAAGAACTTGTCAAAGGCTATTCGAGAAAGCATATGTCTCCTAGATCTATGATCAAGGTTGATCTTAGGAAAGCCTATGACACCATCTCCTGGGGTTTCTTGTATGAGGTCTTGTTGTCTATTGGTTTCCCTACCAGATTTGTTGGATGGATCATGGAGTGTGTTTCCACTCCTTCTTTTTCTATTTCTATAAATGGTATCCTTCATGGTAACTTTAAAGGGAAGAGAGGACTTAGACAAGGGGATCCCATGTCCCCTCTCCTTTTTGTGTTGTGCCTTGAGTACTTCTCTAGACTTATCCATAATAGAACTAAAACTCCGGCTTTTAAGTTTCACCCGAAATGTGGTAAACTTAAAATATCTCATATCGCGTATGCTGATGATCTTATGCTCTTTTCTAGAGGGGACTATTCCTCTATTAAAGTGCTTATTGATGCCTTGGATGAGTTCGGTAATGCTTCTGGTCTTAAAGTCAATTTTGACAAGTCTAATATCTTCCTTGGTGGCTTGGCTGATTATGACATTGCCCATATCCTGAATATGATTGACTTTAAGGAGGGGACTTTCCCTGTTAGATATTTGGGAATCCCTTTGGCTCCTCTTAAGGTCTCTGTGGCACAGTATGCCCCTCTGTTGGGTTCCATTACTAATTGTATTAATGCTTGGAATACCAAGACTCTTTCTTATGCGGGGAGAGTTGAGCTTATCAAGGTGTCCATTCTTTCTGGCTACAAGCACTCCCTATTCCTAAGGCGGTGCTGGATAGAATCACTTCTATCTGTCGCATCTTCCTTTGGGGGTGCAAGTATGCTAGAGTGGCTTGGGCTGATATTTGTTTTCCCAAAGAGGAAGGTGGGCTTGGCATACATAATACCCATGTGTGGAATTCCGCACTCCTTGCCAAAACCCTTTGGGATATCCATATTAAAAAGGATAACCTTTGGGTGAAATGGATCCACGGTGTCTACCTTAATGGTAGAGGTGTGTGGGAGTTCACACCGCATAAAAGAGACTCCCAATTGATTAAGAAGATTGCTTTGATTAGGGATCAAATCTTATCCCATTTTGAGAATATTCATGATGTTATTGAATACCTTAATAATTGCCAAAACAATGGCAAACTTTCCTCGTCTAAGGTCTATGATCTTATCAGAGCTAGGGGGGAACCTCAACAGTGGATGTCTTTCATTTGGAAGACCTATATTCCTCCCAAGTTCTCTTTCACGGTCTGGCTTGCCTTCCGTAACCGTTTGGCCACTTGTGATAACTTGTATAGGCTCGATGTTGTTAACATTTGCCCTTTTTGTAAGGGTGGTCCGGAAACGGTGCCACACCTATTTTTTGCTTGTTCTTTTTCAGGTACCATTTGGAACAGGGTCAAAGGTTGGTTGGGGATCCCTAGAGAGATGAGGACCTTGCGCAGCTCGCTAAAGTGGATCAAAAGGCAAAGACAAGGAGCAGGAATCAAAGCAAAAGCGGCCAGGATTGCGTTCTGTTACTCTGTCTACTGGATTTGGAGGACCCGCAATGCCACTGTTTTTGACGGCCTTATCCCTAAGGAGGATGATGTGTTTGCTAGAATACAATACATTGTGTATAAAATCCTTTATAACCTGTATCCGCATAGCCTTGTAGGTTTTTGATTGTTCCTTTTGCTCGGCCTCCAACTTGTGTTTGTGTTTGGCCGTGCCTTTGTTGCTGCCAGTGAGGGATGGGCTATCCTTGTAGGTTTGCCTTCATTTTTGTTTCCCTTTGTTTGTACATTCTGAACCTTTGGTTTCTTGGATGATTTTTTATATATACTTACATTTCATCCAAAAAAAATTGAGTTTTTTTAAATGTATTCGAATTTTTGTTACAGAAATATCCGTTGTAAAACAATTTTTTCTAATGTTTTTGGATTCTGGTCAGAGATTCTTGCTTGACAAGTTTGATATATTTGTTTGATACATTTGTGTGTGTGTGCGCGCACACACACACATATATTAAGGATCACATACAAACTCATCTTAATTTACAAAATACAAATTAATTCTAACCATCCGTTTGAATGATCCTACGGTGTACTAATTTGAAAGATGGAAAAACTCTCCTACGAATTGCCTAACGGATACAGTTGAGAGAAAATAGGAATACTCCCCCTACTCACGGCTGAATGTTAGTGGCTTAAATATTTGTTACCATTGATTTTGTAATTTTGGACGGATGAGATGAATTTGCATTTTGTACCGGAAGCACACTTTGTATGCGATCTTAACCCTATATATATATTTATATAGGGATAAGGGTCAGTTTGGTCTTCGAAGTTGCAAAAAAGGGGGTCAAATAAGTCTTTATATAGAAAATTCTGTCCGGACGTGCCATTTGAGGTGGCTCCCAGTGGAATTTTTCTCTTACACACTCACTGATAATAACGCTTGTAGCGTGTTTATGGTCTTCCCGCACGACATCTAACTCACAAGTATGTTGCTTCACATATTCTCTAAGGATCCAGACCTCACTATCACAGTAACGTGATGCACGAACATACCATGTACAACTTTCATTTCGACATGAAACGACCAATGAAATAGAGTTGGACCTTATTGTGTCGAACTCAAAATGGTGTTTCAAAGACAACATTAGCAAAACTTTTTGAACTTCAGCTTTGCTAAAAAAGACATCACCTACCTCAAAATCTAGTCGTTCAACAAGTGTCAAAGGATTATCCACATGAACATCAGTTCTTGAAAACGATGGATGAAGTGGCATGGAAGGGTTAGAGTCATTTTGATTATCATCGGTACCTTGCGAATCGAGAGGATCGGTTGATGTGGACACAATTATAGGACAATTGAATATTTTGCCACTTTTAAATGCATCAAAATACCACCACAAGTCTTCATTTTGCTTAATATGCAAAATGGTCAATGTTGGACTGCCCACGTCATATGATACCAACAACCTTAGTTCAGTAGTTCGATGTAAACTCAAGAAACATATATCAACTCCATAAGAGAACTGAGGCTGATAGAATCATCAATAACAAGTTCTGAACATTTAGCGCCAACATAACGATTACTCACATCCCACTTTCCACTGTGACAAATATCAAGGCTAAGGAAGCCCATAAATACACAATTTATATACCTGCATATAACAAATGTATGAAATATACTCGTATATCTACCGACTACTTACAATACATGTCAATTTTATGGTGATTATTAGCAGCAAGAAAGCATATAATACATTAGAACTAGAATAAATGTAGCAACCCATGTTTGCTTTTATTTTTCAGATAAACTTTTCCTTATCAATCAGATATTCAATTCATTTCAGAAAACTAAAGAGTAAAGACACATTACATATCTTTTTGTTCTATTCGGTCCATTTGTTGAATTATACATCATACTGGAGAATGAATTTAAGAATGGAACGTACAAGAAGATAAAATTGTCCTTAGTTTTCCTGAAATCAATTAATTGATTGATAGGAAAATATACTCCGTATTATCATGCTTATAAAAAAACAGGGGATGTTAAACTTGTTCTACTTCTTTTTCACAGTCTTTATGGTTGAGAAATAATAGGTTAATTGATTTAATATACATAACTAAATATTTCCAAATTAGTCTTATGAAGAGATACTCAAGGAGAAAATGAAATCAGTAACCCGTATGATAGTATGTAGTAGATGTTCGATTCTCTACTGGGGTTAAGAACTCTCTACAGACTTGAGAATTGAGAGTTTCATGTCGAAAATTGAAATTGAAAAACAGAGATATAATTGAGAGTGGAAATTTTTACCTTTGTTATGGATTTAGGGTTGTGTTGTTGCTGACATGAAAATCGCTGAGAACCGCGAGTTAACAGTGCCTTCTTCATATAGAGGCCGGATCTTTTCTTGGGGAAAAGGTACGAATTTAGCGGGATAGCGAGAGAGAAGGAAACTGCCCTAAAAGGGAAACTGCCGCAAGGTTAAAAGGGCCATAATGTAATCGTGGGTTTATTTAGAGGCTATTTACTTTATTTTTACTAACTTATGATATTAACTTAAAGTTACATATTAAAGTGTGTATATACACCCAATTTTCTCTTTTCCAAATAACAATGACATTTTATCGATAATAAATTTAGTCATACTTTTTTAAATAATTTTAATTTCAGTAATATTTTTAAAGAACTTCTAAAATTAAATGAGTGCAATCACTTTTTTACATAGTACGAACTACGAAGTACTATGTACTACTCGTATTAACTTTCAAGTACTTGTTGGCCGAAATCCGTGCTTCCTGTTACCTGTATTCAACGAAACAATCACGTTTTTAGTGTTCACGCTCCACCTCATTTCTTTTCCTTCCGTTTCGTTTTTTAAACGCATGATATGATCCATCCAGATTATATAAATGCTGGCTGGCATTCACGTTTATCTCAGTTCCTGAAAATCCCGAGCACTGATGCGACTTGGAGGAGATCTATATAAACGCTTATAGATAGAGCAGAGACGTACACAGACACGTATCCCGAAGGAGAAGAAGAGACATGGACGCGGTAAAGGGGAGTGCCGGAGTGAAGATAAAGATCGGAGTGTGCGTAATGGAAAAGAAGGTGAAATGCGGCTCAGAGGTTCTGTACTTTCATTCACATTTGTATCGTCAACGGAGAAATGCTATCTGTATATTTTGCTGACCATGCACCGCATAATGATGTATTTGGTATTCATCTTATCAGCATGTACAGCTCGTCATTGATTTCAAGCAGCTTTGTTGGGTTGATTTCAGGTTTTCTCTGCTCCAATGGGGCACATTCTGGACAGATTACAGTCATTCGGCGAATTTGAGGTATTTATGTATCTCTATTCATTCGTCTAGCTATCTGGAAATGTGAAATTGTTGCGCTCATGGAGATGAGCGAATTCCATTTGAATTTTGTCGTTTTGAAGTGGAGACCCTGTGGAACTTTTGCAGCACCCTATGCGACTTTGTTTAAACTCTAACCACCAAGTTGGCTTGTTTCAAGGCTTCAAGCCTATATGATGCTTCTCATAATGCCTTATTGTACTTTAGGTTCTGCACTTTGGTGACAATGTTATCCTTGAGAGTCCAATTGAGAGGTATATTCCAGGCTTAGCTAATTTTTGGTTTCATAATTTAGGCTTACGACAATTTACTTATATATTTGTTTATCCAATGCAGCATTCTGCTTTTCACTTTTTGTGTTTGTATAACACTGCGTATATCGATTATTACGGATGTGTTCTGTATAACAATAATGACTGGTGATATGCATGATGCTCTAAAAGTTCTTGAATTTCAAAGTTAATGTAATGTTCGTCTAATGTGATTATATATAATCGATGGATCCGTTCCTATTTAAAGTTCTTTTTTTTTGCATCTGCAGTTTTATTTATTTATGCATTGTTATCTGCCCTTGTGATATGCGGTTGGGATTAATAGTGGTGTTAAGTGGGTATAATAAATGAGGGTAGTCAAGTATTAAACCTTTTAGCTTTATGAAACAAGGAAAATGGCTTTATTTAGGGACAGAACAAAAAGGAATGCCTGAACTTAATGTATGGCAGATGGAGTAATTAGGAAGGTTTGTTTTATTGCAGCTGGCCAATCTGCGATTGTTTGATTGCCTTCCATTCTACTGGTTATCCTCTGAAGAAGGCTGAAGCATATGCTGCATTAAGAAAGTAAGTATAAATGTACTCTAATTAATTCTGATGCATGTGGACCAAAGCTGTTATACTCGTGGCACTGTTATTTCATTTATTTTCAGATTTCATACTTTGGAACTACACATGTAGATGAGAGATGTGTGATCTGTGTATATAAAAATTCTCTCTTTCACAAATTTTCAGTCTGTTGGAGAAAAGAGTTACTAGTCTGTCCCACTAAGATTGGGACAAGAGGGTGTGGTGCGATTTTTAGGAAAACTGGAAATGTGTGGATATTGAATTGATAAAGTGTGACTAAAGTAAGAATGATTTGTAACCACTCAAATATTACCAAATATGGTATGGGACAAACTTAATGGGACGGGCAAAAAAGGTAAAATGGGACAAAGTTGGGGGGACGGAGGGATATTATTTTCTGAAGAGAAGTGAGAAATTCTTTGATTTTGTAATTAAATGCAAAGCCATCACATATTAAGCACATAATTATGAATACAACTTTTATTAGATGTAATTCCTTGTGTACTAGTGCTGCTTGTATTGATATGACTATGAGCTCATATGTTATTCTTACACGCTTTAAGACTTGAAGTTCGGAGGTGTTCCATTGTCATCTAGGAAGAGTTAAGATTGCATTGCTATTTGCAACCCTTAAGAGGTGTATTGTGCCTTTACATGCCTTGAAGTGAGTTTGCAAGTAACTGTGTATAATTTTAATTTAGGCCTTTCCTTGTAAATGAATTGGAGCTACAACATCTTCTCCATGATCGAAGGAAAGTGTACGAGGTGTGTCTATAATCACTTGCCTCTACTTCATTTAGTTTGTTGGGTAACAAAGAATTAAATAAGGAAGTTGTCTGGAGCTTTCGGATTATGAACTCTTATATGTATTTTTCTTCACTATTGTTGTTTACACCTTCAGTTTCGTTTTGTCCTATGAAACATCTCCCTTCTATGCTGATCCACCAGTATGGGATTACTTCTGTGGGTTAGCATGCAAAAACAATGCTTTCTTTCTCTCTCTGTTTGCTTCTATTTCATTAGTACATTAATTATAAAGAGTAATGATATTTCCTTTATTAAATTGGCAATCCCCCTTTCCCCTATTGAAGTTCGATTCATGTTTTCTTAAATAAACCTTTTTTCGGAGTTCCAGCGTCTTGAGATGTGTGGAATTCCAGTCCCAAGGTATGCTTGTGTAAATAGGGAAGTACCCTATCAAGAGCTAGATTATTTCGTTGAGGAAGAGGATTTTGTTGAAGTTCACGGGAATCGCTTCTGGAAACCTTTTGTCGAGAAACCTGTTGATGGTGACTTTTTCTACACTCTTAAATTTATGAAGACAATCTTGGCTCATAGAAACATCTTTATTGTTGTAGTTTGCTGTGAAAGTTTACGGAAGGTTCAACTTTCCTTTATAAGCATTCTCCATCAAGTTAATATTCTTTTTGTGAACATGATGCATGTTTAATGACTGCTAAAGAGGGAAACTGTAAAAGAGTTCCTTGAGAAACTCAAATTTCTTTTTATGAATTCTAATGTAACCCAGCAATTTGCTGTTGATACTTGACATCAAATAAACACTTAGTAATTCATTTATACCAATTATACGCCATTTCCACTCTTTTTCTTCATGCATCAAGTGTGTCATCTCTTTTCCTGTGCAAATGCCATTTTTGGACACTCATAATCATCCTATTTTTTGTTCTGTTTTTGTTTTTGTTCAGCTGATGACCACAGTATAATGATATACTATCCCAGCTCAGCTGGGGGAGGAATGAAAGAATTATTCAGGAAGGTAAAACTTTTAGTATGACACATAGCCTTACAGTGCCCAAGTTGTTCCCTGATAATAGTGGTTCAATTGCCTTGGCTCAGCTTACTGGTGCTTGAGACAAAAACTACAACATATTTAGACTCTAGGAATATGGGGTTTAAGTCTCTTACTAAAGTTCTGGTGTTTGCACCACCTTCTATTACCTCCTGGTAATGGGATCTAATGTATGTTTGTGTGGTGGAGCAACAAGAGAAAATGAAGTACAATATCACTAAAAAGATTTATTTGTTTGAAGAACTACACTATTGAGAAGGTATTTAAACTAAGTTAGGGCATATGTCACCTTGGCACGGACGCAAGAAATCCCTCCACCTCTAGTTTTTCTTAACACTAAGGAAGCAATCTAGGAATACTTTTGATTTCTAATAACATGCACCCCAAATAACAAGCTCCATCAGGTTGAAGTGTGTCAAATATGTTCATCCTGCACAGAATTATGATAAATTGTATGATTATTGCATATAATACATCAACATAGATCTTTGGTACATTCATCGAGAGTCCTGAATGGCTGGACCTTAAAGATTCAGTTGTATATAAAGTGAAACTAGTAGTATATAAAATACCAGTCAATTCAAAAAAACGTTTTCTTAAAAAAACAAAAAAAAAACAAAACGAAAGAACCGAACTTCAGTGTTGTTACTTCATGACAAAGCATCTTTAAGAAGGAACCTGGCAATACATTATTTGGAGCTACGTATGCTTTATAAAATGATAACATTGATAATCTAACTAGACTTTACCAGCGCAAAATTGACAAATCACTATCATGGACCAATTTATTCTTGAATCTGCAGAAAAATCTGATGATAAGTAGATATTCAGAACATAAATTCCAAAAATTGGTTCAATATTTGTATGTTGAATAGGAATAAGTCTATAAAACAAATGCACATGAGACTGTTTAGGTAAACAGTAAACTACTTGAAAGTTTACTTATATGTCTTTCTTGGCTTACACTATTCCAGGTCGGTAACCGCTCAAGTAAGTTCCATCCAGAGGTTCGAAGTGTCAGGCGTGAGGGCTCCTATATTTATGAGGAATTCATGCCTACAGGAGGAACAGATGTTAAGGTTGCATAATCGTTGATTTTCTACTCTTTAAGGATTTACATTATACTGTTTAATAGGAAACTACACTGCATTTATGTTTGAAATTTGGGTTTCTACTAAGTGTCATTGTGAATATCATTGCATATCCACTTGAATGTAAAAACAAATAATTGCCTGGGTTTACTTGTGGTACATTGGTTCAGTAATCATACTTATTATCTTTACCATCATTTTCCTTTTCCACTCATTTACATGAATCTAAGAAACCATAGGAGTCTATCTTTACCCCACTTTTGTCATTTTCTGTATATTATACTTGGAGTATTATCATATAGATATCAGCTTGGAAATTGAGTTCATCCTTGTTTACAGTCTGTGTCCAAGTCCGCTCTACTTAATTATATCTTTACTAGTCAATTAACCCGTGCGTTGCACGGTAACAAATAAAATTAATCTATTTCCGAAAACAGTTTGTATTAGGATTATTTGTATGGGGGTAATGGTTAGAGATACATTAACTGATATAATGTTATCAAATAAACATTCTTTTGTCCTTGATTTTTTTTTTATCTAATGAAGATGATAACAATCAATATAGTATATTATTCTATGCTATATTAAAGTACTTAATATAGTTAATTATTAAAAAAAACCATTTAGCCATTTATGTGAAAAAATAACTTTTTGGTTTGCAGCTATCCATATATGTGGGCTATATAGTATGTTTTTTGAATAAAAATTGGTATGTCAACTCAGTACTTATCCCACTGATTTTTGTATTTTGTCATTCCGGGTTAAAAAAGTTCCTAACAATTACCCTATCAAAATTTCACAATTTATTTTGTATGAAATAGATAGTTCTAATACCTTCATTCTTATTAATTTTTATTTATTAAATAGCTATATAGCGCATATAAATAGGAGAAGTTAAACTAATACCTTTTATTTTGATATTTCAAATGAATAGCAAATTCTCACTCGAGAAACAAATCTGTGCGGTGGTATTCTTTAAATAAAAAAAACACATAGCATATCTTAAGGAGGTTTTTTCCCTTTCATGTAACCGAATAGGCTATATATTTTATTTACAGAAACATGTGACATTATATTTTATTTACACAAACATATGAAATAAATTTCACTGTACCTATTTTAAATTGTTTATATGCCCAAATATTCCCTACAAATTAATCATAGACTTATTCAATACTACCATAATTGTTTATATCTATTTTGGAATTGAATTTAGTACAATCATTTGTACACTTGTGTGGATCTAGTAAGAATTGATTTTTTTTGTTAATTTACTAATGGATGTACATGGTAGAATTAATGAGTGCAAATTTTAATATTATTTTGTTCAAACTTATTAATATAATAGCTAATTATTAGTTTTGTTTTGTCATCACTAGATTAAAACTAGAATAATAACAATAAGTATGAATTGTTCTTATTCTAATTTTTATGTTTTATTTAAGTTATAACTATTAATTAGACATACATAATCTTTGATTGTTATTAATTACAAAGTTATTAAATACTTCATTAATTAATGCAACAATTTTTCACTTCTTTTGGCTCCAAATAAATTCCTACTTGATTCTCCACCATACTCTCATTATATATATAAAGATTTATATTTCCAATTTGACATTTCTTAAGTAGGTTTATACTGTTGGCCCCGAGTATGCACATGCAGAGGCAAGAAAATCCCCCGTTGTTGATGGTGTTGTAATGAGGAATCCCGACGGAAAAGAGGTGGCCATTTTCTTCAAGATAAAAGAATTCTCTAGAATATTTCTAATATGTTTTAAGTTGCATCTGCAATTGATTAATGGCTTGAAAGTAACTTTACCAGTTTCAAGCTTTATGGAACACATTGCAAGTAATGGTAAAGCTTACTATTGGCCTCTAAATGTAAAATATCCATACAAAGTTGTTATTTTGTGCGCAGATCAGATATCCTGTTCTTCTTACCCCTACTGAGAAGCTGATGGCAAGAGAAGTTTGTATTGCCTTTAAGCAGGCTGTAAGTCACTTGGATGCTCGCTAACTATTACGATGATTTTTAACTTTATAAAAATTGATGTAATCCCATCTTTGTTTTCGGAATCTGAGTCTTCTTATTTCTTAATGTTAACTTATATGTCTTACATTTTAAGAGGCATACTATTTGTATGTGTTGGGTTTTGGCTTTTGAATATTCAGTTACCTGCAGATGAATGTTCTTGGTGAGTATTAAATATTTGTCAGCTTTGACCTTATGCAGACTTATGTGCTTAGGATGTCTGTATATGCTCATATCTAGGCACACCTTATATATATATATATATATATATATATATATATATATATATATATATATATATATATATATATATATATATATATATCCACACGAAGAGAATCCTTTATAACGCTTGCTACTATATTTTTTTGCTTGAACTTATACTTCAACAGATGTTAAGGTTAAATAATCGTTGATTTCCTACTCTTTAAAGATTTACATTATACTCTTTAAGGTTGCGGATTTATCCTGGAGAAACTCAACCACCATATTTAGGTTGTAACATGAAGAGAATCTGTTATAACGCTTTGCTACTATATATTTTTGCATGAACTTATACTTTATAGTGGTAATTAATTTTAGATAATTAATTGACATTATGAAGTTTGTGACACTGCCAAGTGCCAATGCAGTTGGGGTTGAGATTTTGTTAGCGACGATCATGGTTCCTTTAAAAATAGTTTTTGTTTCTTCACCTTATTTTCAGGTTTGTGGATTTGATCTCTTGCGTAGCAATGGGCGTTCATATGTCTGTGATGTCAATGGGTGGAGCTTTGTGAAGAATTCCTACAAGTATTATTACTCTAAGAGATGTTTGTAGTTGTCCTTCATGACATTTGGAACTCCAAATTACATCACATGATGAAATAAACTATGTTTTTTAAGTCCTTCATATAAGTATTTGTCCAAAACAAATACTTATAAGATGGAAAGAAATGGTGACTTGAATAATTCACGCATGCATTAGGTTGAAGGATATGCTAGTAGTAATTGCTTCTTTTGTCTGCGTGTACATGTAGATGATCATTGACTTGCTGTTAGTGCTAGCTGCATTGTATCCTCTCTATCCTCTTGTTTCTTATTAATTTAGTTTTTAAACTTTTTTCTGGTTCAGAAAGAATTATGGAATTAACTTCTGACTGCAGATACTATGATGACGCTGCTTGTGTGTTGAGAAAAATGTTTCTAAATGCAAAAGCCCCACATCTTTCATCAACTAATCCACCAACATTGCCATGCACATCTAATGAACCAATTCAGCCTTCGGAAGGTTTAACACGCCAAGGGAGTGGACTTATTGGCACATTTGGGGAATCTGAAGAGCTACGCTGTGTAATTGCAGTAATTCGACAGTTAGGCTTACTCCATCTACCTTATTTCTCAAGATGAGAATTTTATACCATCCCTCACATTAATCTCTACATTTTATCAGTGGTGATAGAACTCCAAAGCAGAAAGTGAAGTTGAAGGTTACTGAGGAAAAGCTGTTGAATTTGTTGTTGAAATACAATGGAGGAAAACCTAGATCTGAGGTCCTCTGTTTCTTCCATATTTATATTGATGTTTGAAATGCCAACACATTCTAAAAGAGTTGCTTTCTTTCAAATTATGTTGCAGACAAAGCTTAAGAGTGCTGTTCAGCTACAAGACCTCTTGGATGCCACAAGAGCACTGGTGCCACAAGCTAGGTAAAGTATTTTTTCCCATGTTTGTAAATGATGTCAAATGTTATAATTGTATTCCTGCATGAATATGACATTTTCTTCATTCCTCTTTTGATTTATTACTACCTATGTTTCTTCTTTGACTCCTCATTTAAATTGTCACAGTTTTCAAGCAAGTAGGAACTGTGGCTGATATATGTTTAGAGTAGGGAAAGTTTATATAAACAACATAAAGATTTACTCAGTAAACTGAAGATCATATGGGATAGTCAAAAAAGAAAAGAATGTCGAAGAAAGGGACAAAAGGGAGTATTTCTTATCTAAAATAAAATGAAAAATATACTAATAATAATCTATGGTTTAACACTGAAACATTTTCGAACTTTTAATGTTCACAGAAAGAGTCTCTCTACTCCTAAAAAAATCTGATTACTTAAAATAAAAATCTGACTGATTTTTTTTGTATTATATGATGTAGACCTGGTCAGGAAAGTGATAGTGAAGCAGAAGACCTAGTTCATGTAGAAAAACTTCGCCAAGTCAAAGCTGTACTCGAGGAGGTCTGAATTATTTTTTTGTTCCCTTTTGCTTTCTAATAATAGTTATATGCATGTTCATATCAGAAATCCAACATGTAAATATATTTTATATATAAGTAGGTATATAATTACATTTGCTGGTTTACGAATTACATTTACCTGCTACAAAATCCAACTCTGGTATTAATTAAATAGTTGTAAATTTTCCTCTAGGGGGGGCATTTTTCGGGCATTTATAGGAAAGTTCAATTAAAGCCGCTAAAGTGGGCTAAAGTTGCAAAACCTAATGGTGAAGGTGAAGAAGAGAAACCTGTGGAAGCTCTTATGGTCCTTAAATATGGTGGTGTTCTTACTCATGCTGGCAGAAAGCAGGTACTGATTTATGTATTCATTTTTTCAAGACCGTATTTTATCAGTCTGGGTATTAAGTTGAAGATAATTACTTCTCTATAGAAAAGACTATTTTTTGTTTTTTATTATGTGCCTGCTCTTTCTAATTCTTATAATGTATGAATTCCATTATCTTTTGTAGGCTGAAGAGCTGGGAAGATATTTTAGGAATCATGTCTATCCTGGTTAGCAATTTTCTCTCAGTATCTCAAATTATTTATCAATGATCTTCCTCGTCAATTGTTCCTTAATTCCAATAAAATTAGAGATAAAAGTTAAAAAACAAGGAACTTGTGAGATAGGGTAAGTTTGTTACCTGAGACCCCAAGTTGATATTAAAACCACGGATTTAAACTTCATAAAATAATTGCGTAAGGTCTATGGATGAGAGAAGGCGAGTTCACCAATTTCTATAGCTTTGCCTTTTGAACCAGCACCAAAGGTAACCATGGAAGTGAGTCGACGAATATATTGTCACAACAAACGACAAGAAGCTGTAGTCCCAAGTTGAATTCGAATACCAATAGAGTCTGATGCAAGCACGGATTTACAAGAACTGAGAAATGGGAATACAAATTTTCTTAGTTGCCTCATATTGAATGTTTTGTTCTCTTCTTTTGTAATGTAAACCTGGAACTCCAAATTCAGATAATTAGATTATGTAACATTTACCATGGCTGGTAAAATAATAGTAGGGCTGCTGCTGAGTCTCGCAAGATCAGAGCAGCGGCAGAATGGTGGGGCGTGTAGTAAGCATTGATGACTGGAAACCCAAAGAGTGGGTTGAGGTTACTGTTGATATCAGAGAATTTTGGTGGCTTCATGTCTTCAATTTTGGTGAAACAGGAAACACGAATAATGTGCTATATGTAGTCAAATGTACACGGCACTTTATGTAGCAAAAATTACAAAAATTTCATCATGTATTTAAGTCATTTACCTTCATTACTTAATGCACAGTCCATATCAACTATCATTTTAACCTGAAGATGCATCCTCATTTGGTCTGAGATATGGTCTACTATAGTCTATATATTTTTTGGTCTGAAGATATGGTTTACTATAATCTTTATATTATTTGGTCTGAAGATATGGTCTACTACAGTCTATATTATGTGTCAACAGCGATTTTTAATTTGTCTCTTCTAATTGATGTTTCCGCTATTTCTTTGTTCTCTTATATGAAATTTCAGGTGAAGGTACAGGCTTGCTTCGTCTCCACAGTACTTACCGCCATGATCTTAAAATATACAGCTCGGATGAAGGGCGTGTGCAGGTGAGCTGTGTAGCGCAGGATGCAAGCTGATTTATTTTTCAAACTTTCCAGTCTGTTTTTGTTTTTTCAGAATTCAATGTACTTGGATTTGACATGCAAGACTTTTTCCCTGCGTCCCTTAAATCTGCGTTCATGCTTTATATAGCTGTTTCATATGTTCTCTAACTACAATTTTCCTTCATTTGTGGCTTTTTTTAGATGTCAGCTGCTGCTTTTGCCAAAGGACTTCTAGACCTGGAAGGGGAGCTGACACCCATACTTGTAAAAACAATGCATTTTAAATTTTGAATTTTTGGTCGTTAAACAGCAAATTCTTTTGCGATTATTTACCTTCTTTCCCTCTTGTAAAGGTCTCCCTGGTTAGCAAGGATGCTTCTATGTTGGATGGACTTGAAAATGCCAGTATTGAGATGGAAAAAGCAAAGGTTTTTTCTGCCATTACATTTGACTAGTGTTATACTTTAATTCCCGCACCATATATGTAGACAATAATGTATGGTATTTATTCAATTTCTTGAGAGCCTTGCTCAAATGACAGTATAATACTACTTGTTATAAGGAGTCTGTATGATCCTTAAAGCAGTCATTTTTACTTGTAGGAATTAATTCAAAGATAACCAAACAAATTGAAGTCCAAAAATGTTATATACTACGTAGATTATAGACATAATCATGTTGATTGCCTCAGCCCAAAAATTTAACCCACAACTTTTGGTGGTGTTGGATATATTAGTGGTGCCAATAATTAAAAGAGAGTAGAAATGAGAAAATTTGGATTCTCTGTATTTGGCTCAGATATTCAGCCTGACTCTTGCAACACACTATTAAGATCAAGCTCTAATCACTCACAATTTCACTCACTAATACACTAGCAATAGTAGAAGTACACATGATCTCTAGTAACTATAGTGGTATGAAGTGGTCATGGGGTCGGCATGGCTCAAACTTAATGTTTTGGCTATTTATCAAGTATATCTCGTCAAATCGTTGCATTGATTGCGCTTTCCGTCAAATTTGAGTTTCCAACAAAAAAAGAAGTGTTGGCCAGGTGATGCATTCTCTCTATTGTAGAAAAGGATCCACACCGGGTCATGCATGTCGTCCAGTCGATTATATTAGGCTGATGTCAAAGATTCATTGTTTATTCAAGACTAGAGGTAACCATACTAAGTATTTCCTCTCTCTAGACTAGAGGTAGCCCTTTTTCCTTCCGCGTTCTTTGAGTTTTACAAAGGACGTCCTCTCTCTAGATCTAAAAATAGTTATGGCAAGCATTGTCCCTTCATGAAGAATCCTTCCAGCCTCCGTACTTTCATTGTAAGGTAACGATCGCAAATGCTCTTCATCCCTTCTCTTTTCTTTAAGGTTCCCCTTCTCTCTCTCTTTATCTGAGCCTTGTTAGAGCTGTTTAACACAAGTCCCCCAAATATGTTGTATTTAAGTGTTACAAGGCAGCATGAAGTATTTCTCGTTGATACCACTAGGCTTGCTCTCTCAACCTGATCTGGCAACGTTCAGGAAATACGTAGTTCGAAATGCGCTCGACGTAGTTACCTCCTGACTTAGTATGGTTACCTCTAGTCTTGAATAAACAATGAATCTTTGAGAAGGTCTGGAGTCGGATCCATACATCACAATGTAATGATGGTGGGGCATTCTGTCATCAGGTACTCAGGTGACACCTGTCCCAAAGACGCTCCCCGGCATTGTGGTGCTCCTTGATTCGCTAGAGAGAGGTGATTACGCCAGTAATAAACCCCTTCCCAGCCACTTTTTCCTCCGCTTTCTATGAGTTATGTTGCAGAGGTTCTCTAGACCTGAAACATTGTTCTGGCAAGCGTTGTTCCAGCATCAAGACTTCCTTCTTGCCTCACTACTTCCGGATCCCCCACTATACAAAGAGGGGTACCTGACCATCAATGTACGGGTCGTTCGAGCAATAGTCCCGAAGAATAAGTCCAACTAGTGGCCCAACGCCAGTCGTATGGTTGCCCTTATTGAGGCTGAGTTCATGCCTTGCTCTAAATAGAAGGCTCGGGCCACAGGCATGCTCCCAAAAAAGGAGAGGAGAAAGGAAGAAGAGAATTACAATGAAAGCAGGGAGGCTTGTGCTTGTCGGAACAATTTTCACATCTAGAGAGAACGTCTGGAGTGAACCCAAAGAACGTGGGGGGGGGGGGGGGGGGGAGGAAGGGGTATTTATATTCAAAATCGACTCTCCTGACCAATCCATGAGCACCGCATGGCCAGGAGCATCCTCGTAACAAGTTTACCCGAAGGCGAAACGTTAAAAGGTTATCAGATCAAGCTAGGAGGTAACTATGTCCAGCACTTCCTTGACCTCTCTCAAGCCTTGCAGGGCCAGCTCGAAAGAGAGAACCCGAGGGTGAACGCCAGGAATGCAGAAAATGTGGAGCATTTTATTGAGATATTGGCCCATTAACTCCACAAAGGCATCATTCCATCAAGGTTGGCAACTGCACGTGCCAGGGGTTCATGCTTGGGCCCGCCTCAGTCCCAACATAACTCTATACTAAGTGGGACAGAGTGCACAACCACGGATGAAAAACCATCTCACCAGATGATGATTGAAGTACCCAAGCGACTGCTAGGAAAGAGCACATTACTTGCCAACACTCCTTTTTTGTGGGAAACTCAGATTTGGCAAGAAGAACATTCAATACAGTGATTTGGCTAACTATCGTTGATGGATAGACAAGCCAATAGGGAGCAACCACAACGCCCCCCCCGCCCGCAATTAATTGCTAGTATTATAACAAAACTCTCATTACTTCATTTGAAGGGTTGTTTTTGCATTTACCAGAGAACATTTATATTTCTTCTATCGTAGCTAGTGTATTAGGGAGTGAGATTTGCCTAGTTTGAGTTATACTAAATAGAGCTTGATTTGAGTGTGTGGTAAGAGCCGGGCTAAGGGAGTGTTTGCAACTGCTTTTGCTTAAAAAAAAGCACTTTTCACATGAAAAGTAATAGAAAAAGTAAAAAGCACTTTTCACACGAAAGCCGAGAAACACTTTTTTAAGAAGAAGTTGTCACTTGAAAACACTAATTTTAGCTTTTTTAAGCCAAAAGTCGAGAAGTGCTTTTTTTAAGCTATTGCAAACACTCCCTAAGTATTTCGAGCAAAATTTAGATGATTCGATTTCTCTCGTTTATTCTCTCTTTTAATAATTCGCACTATCTAATCCATCCAAACACCCGCAAAAGTTATGTTTTGGACTCTTGGGCCGAAGACCCTAACCTTAACAATATCCAAATATAACTTATTCACCTACTTCATGTTGATCAAGTTATACCTTAATAATGCGTGGCGTAGGACCTTCTACTCTAGACATTCAAGACAAGGAATATGCTTGCTACTTTTCTGATTTGGTCTATCGTAGTTTTATTTTATAATATATATGCCACATGCAATCCCATTCTTGACTTCATTTCTGTTGCATATGCCACGTATTCCACAAGTCTAGTACCCTGATTCGATCTTTTCTTTTACATTTTATTCCAAAAAATGTTTCTTTTGTTCTATCTTAGGCTAAATTGAATGAAATTATAACTTCTGGATTAACAAAAGTTCATAGTAACGGATCATCAGAGAAGCCCTGGATGGTTGATGGAGCCGGAGTCACTTCAAATGCATCTGAGTTTCTCCCAAAATTGGTAAGTTGATATGAAAACTACTATTAGAAATTGTGGCTTTTGGTTTCCAAATTTTTGGTGATCATTGCTGCAACAAATTTTGTGTCCCACGTTCCACTTTACCCTGCCAGGGAAGTGATGTTTTGCATTTCCTGAAGTAAAAGTAAAAACATCACTGCCTGTAATATATGAATCTATTATCATTAAGCCCATGGTTGCAATTTATGATTGTGATTAGGTGAAATTGACTAAAAAAGTGGCGGAACAAGTTTGGGTTCTTGCAAAGGATGAAGCTGAGGAACTCTCTGAGACAAGCTCGTGTGATGTTATTCCCCCATATGATCAAGCTAAGGCACTTGGTAAAACAAACATAGATGTTGATCGCATTGCTGCTGGTTTACCATGTGGCAGTGAGGGATTCCTTCTAATGTATGCAAGGTGGAGAAAACTTGAAAGGGAATTGTATAACGAACGCAAAGAGTAAGTCTTGTTCCGCCCCAAATATTGTTACCTTCTTGAAGCTTTGGAAACATCTTCCGATCAAGTTATGACCCATTTTCACTGTCCCAAGATGTAATGGCAGAGTAGCCTCGAGTTGGAGTGCTCATTAATTAGAGAAGTTTGATTGATTATTAGAAACCATTTTCCAGTATTGATTACACTTTGCTAATGCTGAGCTTACTATTGCAGACGCTTTGACATCACGCAGATTCCAGATGTGTATGATTCAAGCAAGTGAGTTACCCAAACTATCTTATGCAAGATTTACGTGCTAATCAATTATTTTCTGTTGACCTGTGAAAGTTGTGGTCTTGTGGACATAAGCTACCTTCAATTCTATGAATCATAAAGAATATTTTGAAGGAATATAACATTTTGTATTATCATCGACTGTAATACTACTTTTGTTCTTTAACAAAGATTCTTCATATGGATTAGGCAACCTTTTGCACTTGAGCAAAGGTGAGCTATACAATCATCATAGCCAAGACTAGTAGTAGTATTAATCAGCACCTTGTGTTACATAAATTGTACAATCATCACATCATGTGACAGTTTTGTCAACATGTACCCTCTTTCAGTGGTATATGTGCTTTCATTACAGTATCACTTGGCTACACTTCTATGTAGCTCTGTTACCATTTACAGAGGTCTATGACCATTGACCAGCATTGTTTTCCCATGTGATGTCACTAACAGAAAAGATTCTTCTTCAAGGATTATTTTTACTGATGAAGAGTTTCCATCGTTTTATTTGTTTATGGATCTTCATCGCGGAAACTCAAATAAGATATTTTAAAGCTAATTTTGCCTCTGACATTTCTTTAAGATTCTCATAAAAAGTTCATGAATGTTCTTTTTTCTTTTCTCTTTACAACAGGTATGACCTTTTGCATAACTCACATCTAAAACTTGAAGGGTTACATGAACTTTTCGGGGTTGCAAAGGTAACAAACTATTAATGATCTAACCTGAGGTCAGAAAGTTTTACAAAACCCAAACATATGAAAATATTACATTGATGTGTGATACACTTTTAATGCACTGACAACTGAAAGTATCTTTTCAAGCAATACACACTGCAGGTAATGAATGTATAGCAGTGCATTAAGAGAATCTTTTATATAGTAGGTTTAGTCACCCTCAGCAGAACATATGGTCAATTTAAATAAACTGAATTATGGGTCTGCTGCTTGCCTGTCAGTTACTTGCAGATGGTGTTGTTCCTAATGAATATGGGATAAATCCACAACAAAAGCTAAAGATTGGCTCAAAGGTAACTTTTTTGTTATACCTAAATAGTAATGAAAATTGTTTATTCTTTTCACATTTTTCTTGCAGCATAATGCTTTAAGTTTCTTGCATTGGTTTAAGTATCATGCTTTAAGCCATGATGGCAGTTGAATATGGTTCTGAAAAGAGAAAAACTCATTTAGGTGCATGTAGAAGTGGTCCAAATGATAACCAGTTTTAGTTTCTCATGACTACAAGGTCGAACAGAAGTTCATTTATGAGATACCAGTAGGAAGTATTGGTGAGGTGGACCATATAATCAAAGGAACGTAATGGCATTTCTTTTGTTGACGAAGTACTTGAGGGAGTTAACAGGACACATAGGATGATGCATATGCTACTTGGACAAAGATGAAAAACTGCATTAGTGTTGTAGCTTAACAGTTTTTGGGTGGAAGCGCAAGGTGTAAGGTACCAATATGAGGAGGCATAACATTGTAGAATGGGGATGCTGATACATCACTATTCACTAAAGAAGAAACAAATTTTCTACCAATGCTTGGGAATAGTAAGGATGAGGAGAACCTGTGGACTAAACAGATGCTCCCTCCGTCCCATAAAATAGTTCCCGTATTGACTTGGATCGGAGTTTAAGAAAGTGGGAATAAAGTGGAAATGTATGGTTGTGGTTTAGTAAGAAAAAGGTAAATGAATGTGAGTCACAAAAAAAATTCCAAAAAGGGAAATGAGAACTATTTTTTGGGACGGCCCAAAAAGGAAACCGGGAACTATTTTGCGGGACGGAGGGAGTATAAAATTGCGAAGTCCAAAGTGATATGAAATGCAAAACTATTTGGACTTCTGCTTTATTTTTCATTGGACTTCTGCTTCATTTTTCATGCTATTTGTGAAATCATTAATTTTTGCCTTCATAAGAATTGTTTACATCATGTTTCTTCTAAAATTGAGTTTGCTCTCTTTTTAAATGGTTCTTCAAACTCTAAGAGCAAATATTGATGATTTCAAAAATGTGGTGCAAACTCAAATTTGTATAAAAAATGAGTGCAAATTACAATTCTCTCTCTATATAAACATGGTAAAAATAGTATGGAGAATTGGAGTTAGCGCTCCATTCTTAATATTATTAATATTAATATTTGCGCCCGGAAATGATAGTCTAGTCCCATTTTTCTTTGCAATTTGAAATTTTATAGAGAATTTCCCAAATAGTAGTGAAAATCAGGTAGTATCTCTAAATAGAAGTACAAAATTTCATATTGAAATCGTACTGCAATATTATGGCACTACCAGACACTAAAAAGATTATGGTATGATTTCAATATTATAGTATAATGGCAATACTTACTCATATTTAGGAAAAAATATAGTACTCCTATTTTTCAAACAAGCTTACACATGAACATTAGTACTTCATATGTATCTTTACCCACTATTTATTTGTCTCAGATTGCTCGCCGCTTGTTAGGGAAGCTTTTGATTGATTTGAGGAATACACGCGAAGAGGCGATTAGTGTAGCTGAGTTGAAGAGAAATGAGGACCATGATCCAGTAATTGGTAAGGAAACTGCAGATTATCATCTGAAGCCTCGTGCAAAAACTGAAGACCCAAGAAAATCAGGCTTCACCAGTGAAAAATCGATAGATCAGGATGAGGATGATGATAAAGAGACTAAGTATCGCTTGGACCCAAAGTATGGCTTTCGTATGACTTACTGTGATTTAAAATTAATAATCCAAGTATTGCTTCCACCGTATAATTTTAATAGATTAATAATGTGTGGCTGGTCAAGAAATCTGGAATAGTTGGCTTGTTACAAGGAGAATCAACAAATACCATTGTTGCATAACATTTTTACAATAATTCTTCAGATACGCAAATGTGAGAACACCCGAGAGGCACGTAAGGACACGACTTTACTTTACATCGGTGAGTACTTTCATTAGGTGGGTTTTGCCTTTTTCGGATGGAAATGTCATCTCTTGATCATTTACAAATTACAATGGCAGGAATCCCATATTCATTCCTTGATGAATGTCATCCGTTACTGCAATTTGGATGAATCTCTTCAAGGAGAAGGAAGCCTTGTTAGTGACAATGCCTTGGAGAAATTATTTGGAACAAAGGAGCTTGACTATATGAGCTACATTGTTTTAAGAATGTTTGAAAACACGGAGGTTGGCATCTCCCTAAATCATAAACAAAAAGTACAATTAGTACTAATTAAATGACTCAGTGTCGATTACTGATATATAAAAAAAAATGTCATTGTAACGCTTCCTTCAACCCTGGTTAATGAACTTTTTGATACAAAGTATCCATTTATGAAACAAAGTAAGATGGTAAGATTGGAATATTAATACTTATTTTTGGCCTGATTCGAGAGGGAGCGAACAATGTGTCTTTCCTTCAGTTCGGGTGCTCTTCCCTCTTCTCCTTAATGCTTTTCGTAAATGTCTCCCCTAAAATTGTCTTTGCTTTTCTTTCAAAGAAAACATATGTGCTAGATATAATGTGTAAAGTTAATAAGTTTTCCTTTTGGCGTCAGTTTGGGAATGACATTTAAGAATGAAGATAAGAAGGGGAAGAGGAAAGAGCACTCGAACTGAAGAGGTGATAAAACAGGACACAGAGAGTATGACTTTATTTGCCTAATGTTAAGAGTTGAAGAATGACATGCTATCCATGTACAAGGTTCTAAGAAGTATGAAAAGAGATTTCTTGTCTGACTTTTATACGTAGTATATTGATTTATTTATTTGTGTGCGCTTGCAGTTGGCACTAGAAGACCCTAAGAGGTATCGTATAGAAATGACTTTCAGCCGTGGAGCAGATATATCATCTTTGGAGGTAAGCTGCCTGCCTGACTATAGCTAAGGATACATTTGAATGTGGGTTTTAGGGGATTGCAAGGGAAGGATTCAGAGAAAGCTTATTCTATATCTTCACAAATATTGTTACAAAAACAAATTAAGTGCGGCGGAAATTATATATGATAGCATATCACGTCAAGCTTCCAAGTTTTATCAACTCTCAAATGTATCTCCAAGATATAGACTCAATCCTCTGAAACTTTCCCTTCCAAAAACATTCGTCCAAACAGTCACTATGGATGTTGTTCTATGAGAGAAACATATGTGATGTAAATTATTGCAGGAAAACGATGTAGAGGCTGCTAGTACATGGCATCAGGAACACAAATTGCCAATAATGGGAGCTGAGAGGCTTCAAGAAATGGAGTCATATCTAACGTTGGAGAAGTTGGAGAAGATGATGCTGCCATTTGCAATGCCAGCCGAGGATTTCCCCCCGCCATCAACACCACAAGGATTTTCAGGCTACTTCTTGAGAAGTGCTGCTGTGCTAGAGCGATTAGTAAATCTTTGGCCCTTTCATAAACATGGGAACAGTAAATGGTACGGAATATAAGTTTCTGGCCTGCAGCCTGCTTACCTTTGATTTCCTTTAATATCTCACATTTTACATATTAAGACACTATTAATATTATTATTATTGTTATTGTTATTTTGTTGTTACTTCGTGTTTATCTAATGTGAGCAATGCATGTGGTTATGGCCTGAATTTGCAGAAAACAAAGTGCAGGCTATTTTTTGAAAATAATAGGACCTGAATCTACTAACACATCAGAAGTTGTAGAAGATGATGATGCGTCCATTTGTCAACAGGAAAATTCCATTTTAATTCTCTCAGCGGTTTAGTAGACTGTTTTGTTCAACTTCAGATCCATCATTGATTCATGATTTCATGTACTTTGGAAGTTGAAAAGGATGAAATAGTGTTCACCCCTGCCTTGATAAATTTGTTTGTATATGTTTCTGATCTACCTATATAGAAAGGTTCCATCACAATAGAAACTTATATTGACTTCGTTTGTTTTTTGGAGGTTTCGCTCCAAACCGCTGCTTTTTGCAGCGGTTCACGTTGTAAATAGTTGGCGGTTTGGGCAAATCCGCCAATATCCAAACAGGGCCATTGTCTCAATTGTTTGTTGGATACGTTGCATTGTAGCCATTGTGGGGGTGGCTAAAAGTCGTTAGGGCAAGATGTGTTACCAGGGCATTTTCGCTGGTTCATTTCACATCTCTCAAACGTATCTTCTTTTTTATTCCTAAGCATAAATTTCTGCCATATTTGGTGAATGCCTTCATTTTCTCAGGTTTTTTTTTTTCCCAAAAAGTGAAGCTTTCAAGGAGGAAAGTGATTATACAAAAAATGTCCCATACCAAATCCTCCTATCCTTGCTTAAACACTTTTTGAAAATCCCCAAAAATCTTCTCATTTGTTTTAATGTAAAGAACTGTGTTGTTTCCTTCCCTTTTTGAGAAATGTCAATAACATGTCAAATTGCATTTTGATTTTTTTTTACCAGATACTACCTCCGTAACTTAAAAATCTTCCCATTTCAAAAGTAGGTAGATTAAAAATAGTGAAAAAGGATATGAATTATTGAGGTATGATGGGAAGATAGTGGAATAATTTGATGGAATGTGGGATAAATCCAAAAATATTAGTAATAATGTATTATTTTTAGAATTATTGAGAGTATGATGAGAAGTTTTTTTTTGTTACGGACGAAAAAGGAAAGTGGGAAGATTTTTTTGTTACGGAGAGAGTATTAGTCCAGATCCAAAACCAAGCAAACAGTTGAATGCCTTATTCCCTTTGAATCCATTCCTACCAACCAAACTTCATAGTTTGAAATTAAGGGGGGTGTCCTCAACAATGATTTTGCTGGATTTTAAAAGATTGTAGATTTTATGGAGTTTAATGGAATTCCGGAGATTCTATGGGACTCTTGTAGAATGCTATGGATTTCAATACCATGGAATTATTTGAATTTCAATGGACTTTAATTCCACACCCTCCCACTTTCTCCCTAGTCTATGAATTGTTGCTGCTACGAACAGAATACCTAGGTATGAAACCTCTTACTGCTACTTCCTCCCAATTCGCCCAATTCCATATCCCTATTCTAGGTATGAAACCTCTTACTGCTACTTCCTCCCAATTCACCCAATTCCATGTCCCACAATATGAAACCTCTTGCTGCTACTTTCTCCTGCATCGTTCAATAGCAAGAAAGTCCCTTGTTCGCACCCTAAGTCCAGCTCTGCCTTGACTGTGAATTGAACTTCAGCAGGAATTGGCGTTAGAGCTCCACCGCCGGCGAACGTGGTAGCCTGGTCAACTAGATCCAACTGGAGACGACTGCTTCAGCGATGGTGGTAGCTACAGGTTCAGCAACTACAGACGACTGCTTCAGTGATGTCCGTAGCTCTCCGCCCAATCTCTTTTCTTTCTGGATTTGAAATCCGAGGGTTGGGCATAAGATTTCTAGTAGAATGATTTCTACGTATAAGTCTAGTAGAATCCTTTAAAATCCATCTAAACAAAAAGTAATTGAAATCCATGGAATGTTTGAGGACACCCATATTGTCATAGACTCCACAAGAATCCAAATTGAGGATACCTAAACTTTGATGGAATTCTAAATTCCTTTAAAATCTTCAAGAATCCATATTGGGGACACCCCCCTAATTCTTGCCACCATATTCTTCTGCATTTAACGTTCATATTATACTTTTTTGACATACTAAACGAAAGCTTGACATACTTTACACCACCTGTTTTGCACTTATAGTAGTAGAAAATTGCGTTAATGAAAAAGACTGTAATTTATAATCATCATCATCATTACCCAGTGCTGCAAAGGACTGTATTCTATAATCCATAATAAAAAGTAAAAACTTGGTTAGTCATTTACCAGGCGCAAGGCACCAAACTTCAAAGATGAACTACTGATTACATTAAACATGATATAACATCTGAGGGCTGTGTTTCCCCCCCTTTATTTGATTGAAATGGGACTTAATGGCTCTCTATCTTTTGCGGCATGAGCCAGTAATTATGATAATCGAATCAAGCAGCAAATTTGGGAACTTCCCTGGGCTTGTGCTTGAGGATCTTCTCTTCAAGCTCGCCTTTATTGGCTCCTACCACTTTATCCACCACCTTGCCTTGCTTTATGAACACGAACGTAGGCATAGCAGTCACCCCATATTCCTCTGCCGCCTCCTAGAAACACCCAAAAAATCTAAAAATTAGCAAAACCGATCCCAAGCAAAGAAGAAATCAACCAGATCAGATGGCGTTTACTCGAGCAACACACCTTGACCTCATCGACGTCGATCTTTATGAAATTAACGTCGGTGTACTTGCTGGCCATGGTATCGATGAAAGGGGCCATAAACTTGCAGGGACCACACCAGGACGCTGTGAAATCCACCACCATCTATGCATATATAAAAGTAAGGTTAATTAGAACTAATTGTCCAAACTTTAGCAGTTCAACTATGGAGATCGTATATTCGGGACCACTGTTGACTGGTATGTGTGTGGATAGATGAAGAAATCCGGATCGGAATGTCCAATCAATGTTCGAGGTTAGAATTTGGATCTATTTACAGGGATGGATGAGAAGAAATACCAACTTATTGAGTTCTTTGGCGGCGTTGAAGTGTTGCTTCCACGCGTGCGATGATTCAAAAACAATCACTCTCGAAGGTGATGATGACTCGGTGGTGGGTGCCTCCGCCGCCTCCGCCTCACCCGTCAAAGCCGATAATAAACCTCCCATCGCCTTGCTCTCTCTCTCTCTCTCCCTGTATCAGCCCTTCACGACAGTTTAATAGCGTAGAGTTTTAACAAGCAGTTCTGTTCTATATCAAAATAGCATCTTCTGGGATGGAATTGATTCCTTGAATAGTGAGGTATAATATGATCGATCTAATCATAAATAATTTGGTTTGCTCAGTTTAAATTTGATTTGATCTAGTTGCGTAAATATATGATTTATGTATAGTTTATAACTGTTATATTTGGTTTACATATATTTTATAATTGTTGATGTGTGATTTGATATAATCTATTTAAGTCTGGTTTGATCTGTTCTGTTTATGTTCAGAACTAAAATCAGTCCAAATAAAAAGATCCTAATTTTGATGACCATAATTGTATAAAACTTTGCTTTATAGTGACCAGGAAATTTTGAAGAACAGGGGAGTCATATGGATACTGTGGCACCATCATCATATCTTTAACGAGGATCTTCACTAAAATCAAATGACTCCTTTAGACAGTCATATGAGCCTCCAAAATTTTACTCCTATGATGACTATAATCGAATAGTAGGTTTAGATACTATCTATGTCGCAAGTTACACTATGAGATCGTTATATCATGTGTGTGGTATACCTGTTTCAAATATGGTACTGTTCTTTTCTTCTTCCATGCATTATTCGTGAATTCTTTATTTTTCTTTCAATTATGTGAATTCTTCTTCTTTATTTTTCCTTTGTTCAATTCTTTTCAATTCCTCCATCAATACATTAAAAATTTTATTTTTCTTTATCTTAAACTAATAAAATACAAGTATACAACTGAACTTACCTTTTTCCCTTTCCCAATCCATTACAAAATTTATTATTCCACATAAAATTAGATCTGCATATATTGTATTTCATATTCATACACTATTTTTTGTCTACATTCATAAATTTTTTATCATATATTTTCTATATTCATACACTTTTCTGTAGTGTATTTTTTTTTATCTCTTTTATGCTTTAGTGAGTTCTTAAGATGTTGAATTTGTTTATTTTGATTTACATTAATAATATATCAAATTACATTTTCATATGCGCAATATATGTTTCCATATGTGCCAGTTATATTTGTACACAATTCTTGGAGTAATATTTGATAATACATGAAATTACATTTACATGTGTGTGAGTTACATGTCATATTTGATAATATATTGAGTTACATTCTCATATGCATGACTTACATTTACATTTCGATTGAACTCAAGTTACATTTCAATTAACGCGATTTACATTTCAACCTGTCTCAACAAGTTACATTTTGTACACAAGCAATTAATATAAGATATGCTTTAATGAAACTTATATATTCAAGTATTAAATAATGAATTTATGTTTGAATTGATATGCTTTATTTTTATCCCAAAAAAACTTATACGGAGTATTATAAATAGTACATGTTCAATCTTAGTTACATTCCCGTGCGCAAGCTACATTTGCCGCTAACTAAGATTACATTATGCAATAAGGCGAACATTTTTGAGACAAACATCACAGTTTCATCCATGTGTTTTTAGTTAAACCTTGAAATTCAATGACATGGTTTAGCTCCGAGAGTGAGATGCTCACGGGATAACACCCTACCTCCGTCCTAAATTGATTGTCTGTTTTTAGTTTGACACAATTATATGTAATGTAGTTGAAAAGTAAAAGTTGTAGTTGAATTTTGAATAGAACAAGTGAAATGATTTGGATCACATATTTCTTGCAAAAAAGGAAACGAGACATTTATTTTGGACAACCTAAAAATAATAATAAGACAACAAAAATGGAAAATAAAGTAATATTTTTGTCCATAGATTATATATGTTTCAATAATATTTAAGGAAAATCCTCCAGCCCCAAGTCAACCAGATTTCACTTCACCTCCAGCACTCCCAAAGAAGTACTACCAACAATTGTGGTGATTGATAATAAAAACACAAATCAGTTTTACAATGTTGAAATTGATTGAATCGACTTTATTTATTACTGTTTTCAAATTATGACCTAAATGTCTGAGTTGACTTAATATGCTGAAATATGAAAAATATATGTATTACTATATATATTAACAATAAAATTAAGAAATAGTAATAAAATATTTTATAAAAGTTCACCTCGAGTAATCTAAGTGGACATGTGAGAGTGGTCCAAATGGATCACTTCTCTCAAGAGGTGAATTTGGAAAAGTATTCTCATATGTTAATCCTCTAGCCTCGAAGCTAGTTTTAGTGGTCCTGCAATTAGTATTTCATCTCACCTCAGACGACGTGTGAGTTGGATTTAGCATAAATTCAATACTAACTCCGTCCCAAAAAACTTGTCATTTTAATACTTTGACAAATTATATCTTTATTGAAAATTATTTATAATATTAAAATGATATAAAAATGTTCTTTCCTAAATGTATTTTTTTAAGTATAAAATTTATAACTTTCACAGTATTATATTAATCAAAATCATGATCCAAATTTTATGAAATGACAAAGTTTTTTTTAGACGGAGGTAGTACTATTTAACCAATCTTTGGACTCAAATTTATTCCAAAGAGTCTGAGTGAATAATTGGGAACTCATTACTTCCGACATATTTAAAAGTTCTCTACAATAGATTTGGGCACACCGTTTAAGAGTGAAATAGTAGGGGTAATAATTGTGTAGAAAAGGTATTAGATACGGTGGAAAGGTATAAAAGGGATGACAAAGAGTATAAGAAGTAAGAATATTTGAGTATTTTTAAAAGAAAAACTTATCAAAAAGAAAAAATATACTCCCTCCGTCCCGAAAAGGTTCGCCAACTTTGATTTTCACGTGGATTAATAAAGTAAAAACTGTGTGGTTGAAATTTGTGCAAAGGAGATAGAATTAACTTTAGCCACATATTTCTTACTTTAAATGGAAATGACAAATCTTTTTGGGACATTCAAAAAAGGAAATTTGGCAAACCTTATGGGAACGGAGAGAATATCAAACTTTTAAATATATTCAAAAAAAAAAAAGTTGTACAAATTTCAAAATAGGGAGGGAGTATTATTCTTACTCAGGATCACCAAATGTTGGGTGCTAAGGTGTTGAGAAAAAAAGTATTATGAATGGTGTGTGATTGATTGATTGATCAAAAACTCAAATAAGCTTCATATCTCCTCCCTAGTCTCAATTAACCAACCACCCTAGCCTCGTTGAGCCAATCTGTGATCGTCCTCTAAAAATCTAAGGATGTTTTTACTTGGAATGTAATTTGTTGGTTTAGTCTGGTCTGGTCAGCTTTGATCTGTTTAAGTCTAGTTTGGTCTGTTTAAGTCTCGTCTGATCTGATATGATTTGAACTGGTCTGGTCTGGTAAACTTCTGGTCTATGTGTATTTTATAACTACGGAAGTCAAATCTAGTCTGGTCTGTTTAAATCTGATCTGATATGGTCTGGTCTGATCTAGGACTGAAAACAGTCCAAATAAAAACATTCTCAATCTAAATACTTAAATATATACTCAAACCAATTGAATACTCATTAAATAATCTAAAAGTTACTTAATACTTTATTTAAAGCAATACAATTCATTACTTAAGCAACTTGGGTAAAAGAGGAGTAAAAAGATCGACGAAAAAATGATATTATTGTGATATTTTTCACTATTAACTGTATTTTACCTATTCGTATTAATGTAGAGAAAAGTGGCAAATAGCCCCCTGAACTATTTGCATATTTGCAATTGAGCCCCCAAACCCGTTGACCTCACTATTAAACACTTTAACCTGGAAATTTAATGCAATTGGACCCTTTTGACCTGTTAATAACCGGTTGCTTCTGGTGAGCATTTAATTTTGCTGATGTGGGTTGTTGGTCAGCTATCAATGAGTGCCATGTCAGCAAAGATTTTCTTTTTCTTTTTACTTTAACCAAGTCAGCTTTAATTATACCTTTTCAGCTTTTTCCCTTTATTTATTCGTTCGTATCTGTTGTCTTCCATCTTCACGTGAAAGCTGCAGCTCTGCCCTCCATTATTGACCCTTCTCTTCCGTTTCTCGTCTTCGTTCGGCCAGTCCAAGAAGAACGACATGGCTTTCGCGAGTGGTAGTCAAACTTCGTCAAGAAGCAAGTCAACCGGGTCGCCCTCTTCTGTAGCAAGAACAACCCTAAATTATGACCCCCCATTCTATTGTTGGTGTGGGCTAAAAGCTCCGCTTTGTGTCGCACGTGAGAGTGGTAGGAAGTTTCTGGGTTGCCAAAAATGGCTGGTAAACTTTCAAACTTATGTAAGAATTCTCCAATTGAAACCAATGCCTTCACTTGTCATTTGTATTATGTATGATATTATTGTGTAGGATGGTGGATGCAAGTACTTTGTATGGTATGATGAAATGAAGCTTAGCACTGAAGAACAGAAGACAATTGACAGTCCATTGAAGACTGTAAAATTTGCAGATATGAATGGGCACTTGCAGCACATAAAGGACACCATTTGTGAAGTTAGACAAGAAAGCCAAGGTAGCCACGCTGAGATTGCTAGGGTGAAGAATCTGTTGGAAAACCATGTGAAAGAAGAACAATTGAAGTGGTCTGTTGTTATTGCAATGTTTGTTGTGGTTGTTGTACTCATCATATGTAATATGAGATGTTGTAATGTTTGTAATGTGTAGGAAGGTGTGTTTGTGTAATACTTTGGATGGTTTGTTGATGTAATGTGTGGTGTGAAATTTCTGGCCGGATGGTGTAATGGTGTTAAATGTTGTTGCTAGTATTTTAATGGAATAAATTTTTGTTTTCCAAATTAATGTTAATGATGCCAACTCCAAATTAAATGAAGTGTGTGAAGTGGTTGAAGCATGTCATAAATACATTACCATAAGTGTGTGAAGTTAGTGAAGACAATGAAGTACAATGCAACACACTTTAACATTAAAACATAACAATAAAACTGAACTGTCTTAAACACAGAACATTTAACTACCACCAAAACACATTATCATTACAAAATATTACACCTTAACTGGTTTAGTAGTTTGCAGTTTGGTTACTAAACCCCAAAAACTTAAAAGTTTACATCAAAACATCAGCCCAAAATGTATACCAAAACAGAAGTGGGAAGCACAAGTTCAGACCAATACATACATATAGCTGACATGACATGTTCAGCCCAAAACATACATAACATAAAGTACATTGAGCCCAAAATACATATCCAAAACAGTTGAGCCCAATTGGTTACTTCAACATCCCACCTCAACCTAGCTTCCCTCTTGGATGAGAACTTCACCACTTTGCCCAGGCTGCAAAACAGGAAGAAGAAGACACAGAAAACATAAACAGGTTAGTAGTACACCATGTAAAGTTAATTAAAATGCATTTCACCAGATCCATGTAATTTAGGGTATGCTTATACATCTAAATAGGTTGCACCAGAGTTGGGGTCGGTATAAACACCAAGTCCAGACTGTGTTGGTTTCTTTTTGCGCTGCCTTCTTGAAGCACCCTGTGTTGGAGGCTTTGATGGACACTTCACCTTTGAATGGCCTGGAACATGACACAAGGAGCAGGTCATGATCCTTCCTTTCCTAGACAGTTTTTCACGACCTTTTGGACCTTTTGAAGCTTTAGGTACTTCTGATTCCTCCCGGGCCCTTTTTTTCTTTGATCTCCCAGTCATTTTCCTTGGAATAGGTGCATGAATTTCTTCAGTCTGCGTGGTTGGCCATAAGAGTTCACCATTCATTGGCTTGAGTGTGTGAGAATAGGTCTTCATATAAGCTTGTTTTGAGTAACACTCATGAATGAAGTCTTCAGGCAGCAAACCTTTATCAAAAATCGCACACACAGCGTGTGAACATGGAATTCCACTTAAATCCCAAGCCCTGCAGCTACACATCCTCAGATCCAACCTCACTGTAAAATGCATTCTTCCCTTCTTTATCTCATAACCATTGTCACCATTAAAATCAACCTGTCCCACATAAACCACAACCATTTTAAGTGCAAGTACATATTTGTGAAGTAATTATAAAATTACAAAGACAAGTACAACCAATATGAACTTCTTATATACTTACATGCCAACCCATGCTATAATACATGTTCTGTTCCAACTGCTTCATCACCAGGTTACCATGATTTCCAGCCCACTTCTTTACTCCTTGTCTCTTCTTGGCAATTCTGCGCATGACTGCAACTCTTATGCTTTCAAGCATTGGTATTATGGGTTTAGCTCTTGCCTTAAGGAGGGTAGAATTGAAGGCCTCAGACATATTATTGTCCACCGCATCGCACTTAACTTCAGTTCTTATAAAAGCTTTAGACCACAGGGAAGGAGAATATCTTTCAAGATCAGTCTTAGCTCCTTCATCTAACTTTCCTAAAGCATCCATGTTGTAGTTAAACTGTGGTTGGTTAGTTGAACGAGCACACTGCCAGAAATGTTTCTTCATCAGCTTGCCTCTATGAGCCTTACTCCAATTGGCATGGATATGCCTTGCACAATTCCTATGTTCAGCAGCTGGAAACAACTCATTAAGAGCGGTGATTAAACCCTGAAAAAAGAAGCACAATGTAAACAGTGTTACCATATACAAAAGACACATATATGTAAACAATTTAAGTAAATGTACAAATAGATGTAAGTGCAATTGACCTTTTGCTGGTCACTAATGACAGTCCATTCAGCACCACTCTCTATCTCCAAGTCATCTCTCAAAAGAGTCAAAAACCATCTCCATGAGTCTGTATTCTCTATCTCAACCACTGCCCACGCAATGGGGTACATTTGGTTGTTGGCATCCCTACCAACTGCAGAAAGTATCTCACCCTTCAAAGCTGTCTTTATAAAACATCCATCCAGTCCAATGAACTTCCTACATCCTTCTAGAAAGCCTCTTTTCATTGCTGCAAAGCACACATATATTCTCTTGAAGATAGCATGCCCTTCAGGGGTATACCTCTCTGTCAGAATTTTGAGTGTGCTACCTGGATTGGAGTCTAGACATTCTTGTGCATAATCCCTCAGTCGTTTAAACTGGTCTTCAAATTTAGCATTCAATGATTTTAAAACTGCATTGATAGCCCTGCCAACCATCCAGACATTCACATTGATCTTCAAAGTATCCTCAATGTGCTTTTTCAGTTCCATGTGACCTATAGTTGGATTCTCAATTATCTTAGCCTCAAATTTTTGTTGTATCCATTTCTGGCTAACAATCTTTAAAGAATACTTCAGGTTGCACCTATGTTTAAGAGCCAAAGTCTTAATCTGAAAAAGCAGCCTAAGGTTCTTTCCCAAGAAGCAAAGCAATGAAACTTGCAGTTCTCTGCTGCACATACAACTCTGACCCTCAGTGGTTCATTTTGAGCATAACGAATGTCTCTCTTCTCATGTATAGCATACCTAATCAGGGCCTGCTTGAACTGCTTTGCATCATCATACAATTTTCCCACTTCCAATAATGGTGGATCTGCTTCTGGATTATAGAAAGGGAAATCAGTTTTTTCATTCTTCTTTATCGTTTCTTGCAGCTCATTTTCAGACACATAACTAGGAGGGTCTTCACTGTCATAATACAGACTCCCATCATCACCTCCATCTGAAGCATGACTGTCAACATAGCTCTCATCATCACCATCATCAGGGTCTTCTTCATCAGGAACATAATCTGCATCAGTGGCAAATGAACCATGATCATGGAACAAATCTTCATGTCCTCCAATTGAAGCCTCATCAGAAACAACAGTAAATTCATGTACACTCTCACTTTTTGTACTAGGAATCATACTGTCTGCACCTACAAGATCACCTGATAACAGTTCATCACCATCACTTGACTCATCAACATTGTTTGCATCTTCCACTACTCTAGGTTCATAGTCATCATCATCACTTTCACTGTCAGAGTCTGCACCTACAACAACATCACCTGATAACAGTTCATCAGCATCACTTGACTCATCATCAGCATCTGTGTATTCCTCTTCAACAAGTTCATAATCATCATCATCACTCTCAGATATGGCATCATCAACACCTCTAGGAACACCATGAACAATGCTGACAGTAGCTTCACTAACATCTTTCTCAACAGTAGGTTGAATACGCTCAACATCCTCTTGCTCAGGAGTAGGGGCAGTATCATGGATATCATCTTCATCAGCATCAACAATAGGGGCAGAACCATCAACATGCTCTTGCTCATCACTACCTACATTTCCAGCCACTTTGTCTCTACCAAATTCCAACTCTAAAACAAGAGAAGCATCATCTAACCCATGCTCCACAAAAATGTCTAACTCACCCCATTTTGCTGCTTCCTCAATTAAAACCATAGTAGTTGCATCATCACTCAACACGCGTAACTCTTCCATGGGTAAATGACATGGTTTATAATACAGGGCCTCAATGTTGGAGTATCTGTCCTTCTTAATGAACTTAAGGAGATGAGGGTAAGAAATGTAATCTACATCCACTTCTATTCTCTGTACTTGTCCATTAACATACCTCAACCTGGGTTCTTGGACAAAATTTCCCCCATGATTTATGTATAACTCCACATCAGCGAACATTATTTCACCAATGAACAACCTAATACGTATTAAGAAACACTCAATATACGAAGACATATTGGGAAAAAAATTAAATGAACTCATAGTTCTAACGTTAAATGTCGAACATACAATGACTTACCTCCACAAACCCTAGCCGCACTCGTCCCCACTCCTCCGCACAGAGGAGTTCTGATTCCGAGCACGCGTAGCCGGAGAAAGTAACTACGAACGGTTGTATATTAAGCTCTGCGTTGCAAGAGTGCTCACTGTTCGAAGAGTGCTACTGACAAAGAAAACGCGGGTGTAGAAGACGTTTAGGTTTTTGAGGTACAGACAACCGTTTTGGAGAACATTAAAAATAGGCCACGTGGATATTATATACATTTTGTCATTCCACGTCAACCCCACATCAGCAAAATTAAATGCTCACCGGAAGCAACCGGTTATTAACAGGTCAAAAGGGTCCAATTGCATTAAATTTCCAGGTTAAAGTGTTTAATAGTGAGGTCAACGGGTTTGGGGGCTCAATTGCAAATATGCAAATAGTTCAGGGGGCTATTTGCCACTTTTCTCTATTAATGTAATGTTACTCATAATATACTATGTACTCCGTATTATACTCACAAATTTTTAAAAAATTGGGTCACATAAATCGAGATGCCCTACTCAGTGCAACCTAAAAACGGTAGAGAATATATTCATATTGTTTTTTTTTTAATTTCCAAATTACTCAAGTCGAAGTCGTGGTAATTTACAAATTTTCACATCACACGAGCCGTATTTCAAGTTTTCAACCCCACCCGTTTCAGCTCCTGGTCTATCCTACTCCGTATACATTTCTGAAATCTGTTGGCTGCTCACCGTCACCGTTGCAGCTTCTCTCGATCGAAATTCGGGTCAATGGCGAATTGGATACTGATCACAATTACTACGCCAGTTCTTCCCCTTGTGCTGTGGCTCACAATAGTCGTGCTCAATGGGCGGAGAAACAGGAAGAAAGCAATTGGATTCTTCCACCCTTATACCAATG